AGGTTGAGCTGTTGTTCAGCATCTTAGCTGTGGAGGGCAGTGTCACTGGCCCTCATATGTGGGATCCGAACCGGGGCCCTTTGGCGTCCCAAGCCAGTTCTTAACCATCGCGCCACTCGGCCGGCCCTGATTTTGTTTTTTATCTCTTTTTTCTTAACAGAAAATCTTGGCTCCCAACAACATTAACACAATTTGTCATCATCTTTGTCCTATATTGCAAAGTTAATAGTTTCAATGTAACAATACCCATATAATTACTTCCTATAAGATGACAGAATGCACTTGAAAATTTCCCTGTGGTTCTATTTCTTTGTGGTTCTGTGGTCCTTAAGATAAAGCCCATTAGGGATATACAACCAAAATGCTATTTCAAAGTCATTTCCAACAATCTCGTTAGTGTGGTGCCAAGTTGACATTCAATCAGGGTTATTCATTTCTGGGTTTTTTTTTTTTCAATTTTAAGGGATTGCTTTTTTTGGCCTTTGATTCATAATTTTATAAACTGTTTGCATTTACAAAATAAATATAAAACAAGAGACACTCAGAGAAGTCTAGCTTCCACTCCTGTCTCCTTCACTCACTGCCTCCCTCCCGCACAGGTAACCATTTGTATTAGTTTGTGCTTTATCCTTTCATTGTTTATTTTTGAAAATATAAGCAAATGTGTATACACCCCACACATACAAGGTGTGACAACTAAGTTTGCAGACTTGTTGCAACGATGTTGCTAACCTTTTTTTTTTATATCAGAGGGATTATTTGTTATGAATTTGTACCACCTGGACAAACAATTAACCAAGCTTACTATTTGGAAGTGCTGAAAAGGCTGCGTGAAAAAGTTAGACGACCTGAACTTTTTGCCAACAATTCATGGCTCTTGCATAACGACAATGTACCAGCTCACACGGCACTGTCTGTGAGGGAGTTTTTAGCCAGTAAACAAACAACTGTATCGGAACACTCTCCCTACTCACCTGATCTGGTCCCCAGTGACTTCTTTCTTTACCCAAAGATAAAGGAAATATTGAAAGGAAGACATTTTGATGACATTCAGGACATCAAGGACAAAACAATGACAGCTCTNGCTGTTGCTCAGAGCTCAAACTCTTGAGCGAGCTCTTAACCAACTGAGCCACTCAGCTGGCGCCTTATTTTTATTTTTAAGTGATTTCTTAGTGAACACAGAACGGTGGGCAGATCATGACATACTCTCTCCTTTGGTCCTTGTATGACTTTTATTAAAAATTTCATAGCTTCGTTAATCATGTAATACACACCAGGTACCCCATCAGTCAAAACAAACGCGAGGACCCTAACAGTGGCCAGCATTCAGTCCTGAGATCTCCCCCATCCCATCCCCCACCTGGGGTCCCCCTCACTTTGAATCCTGTCTTCATCACTCCCTGCTTTCTTCGTGCAGTTTTATGATACCTACATCCTAAGAGCATATTTTGAAATTTTCGTTTCTTCTTACTAACTTTATTTAAAGGGTATGTTAGTTTTCTAGGGCTGCTGGAACTGAGTGGCTTAAAACAACAGAAATGTATTGTCACAGCTCTGGAGGCTGTAAGTGTAAAATCAGGGTGTTGACAGGGCCACGCCTCTTCTGAAGGCTCTGGAGAAGGACCTGCTCCGTGCTTGGCCTCTGATTTTTGGGGGTTGCCAGCAACTCCTGACAGCCCTCGGCTTAGAGCTGCAGCGCTCAGATCTCTGCCTCTGGCTCCTGTGTTCTCTGTGTGTCATTGCTGCTTATTTTTTCTTCTCCCAATATTATTGAGGAGTAAATGACATACGTAATTGTGTATGTTTAAAGTGTACAAAGTGATGCTCTCATACATACGCATTATGGAATGGTTACCAAGGTCGAGATAATTGCCACATCCATCGCCTCACATAGGTACCGCTTTTATTTTTGTGCGTCTGGTGAGAATGCTGAAGATCTATTCTCAGCAACTTGCAAGTATTCAGTACCGAGTTGTTAACTATAGTCACCATGCTGTGCATTAGATCCCCAGAAACTATTTTTATAACTGAAAGGTTTGTACCCTTTGACCTACATCTCCTTATTCCCCCCTCCACGCAGCACCTGGCAACCAACATTCTATTTTCTGTTTCTGTGAAATGTGTTTTTTCTTCCTTCCATTCTACCCCTCCCCCAACTGTAAGTGATAACCATACAGCATTTGTCTTTCTCCGTCTGGCCTATTTCACTTAGCATAGTGCCCCCCATCTTTCTATGTGTTGTTGCGAGTGGCAGGACTTTCTTCTTTTTATGGCTGAATAATAAATATTCCATTGTATTTATAGACCACGTCTTTATCCATTCATTTGTTGAAGGACTTTTAGGATGTTTCCGTATCTTGGCTATTGTGAATAATGCTGCCGTGAATATAGGGGTGCAGATATCTCTTCAAGATAGTGATTTGATTTCCTTCATACACACACACACACACACACACACACACACACTCACCCAGAAGTGAGATTGCTGGGTCATGTGGTGGTTCTATTTTTAATTCTTTAAGGAACCTCCATACTGTTTTCCATAGCAGCTGTACTATTTACATTCCCACCAACAGTGCATGAAAAAATTCCATTTTCTTCACATCCTCACCAATACTTATCTCGTCTTTTTTTGTAATAGCCCTTCTAGCAGGTGCGAGGTGATGTCTCATTGGAGTTTTGATTTGTATTTTCCTGATGATTAGTGTGTGGAGCTCCTTTTCATGTACCTATTGGCCATGTGAATGTTTTCTTTGGGAAAATGTCTGAGGTCCTTTGCCCATTTTTAAATTGGATCACAGTAAGTCCCCAACTTATGAACGAGTTCTGTTCTGGGAGAATGTTCCTAAGTCGGATTCATTTGTAAATCTAAGAAAGTGAGTCTTATACAACTTTGATAGAAATATACAATGTAAAGCATAAAAAAACTAAACACACACAAAAATACTGCAAATAAACTATTTTTACTTTTACAATTACCTGTAAAATGGTGGTACAGTACTGGCATATAGGGGATTGCATGGAGTGAACTGACAAGAGCAGACACGTGAGCTACTTCCATGATTTGTTCGCATCTACAAATGTTTGTAATGCGAGGTCCATTCGTATCTGTGAAAGTTCGCAACTCAAATGTTCATTAGTCGGGGACTTACTGCATTTTATTCTTTTTGCTGTTCAGTTGTATGAGTTCTTTATGTATTTTGGATAGTAACCCCTTGTCAGATGTATGGTTCGCAAATATTTTCTCCCATTCAGCAGGTTGCTTTGTCAACTTATTGTTTCCTTTGCTCTGCAGAAGCTCATAATTTGACGTTATTTTAGCTTTTGTTGCCTGTGCTTTTGGTGTCTTATCCAAGAAATCATTGCCAAGACCAATGTCAAGGATCTTTTTCCATATGTTTTCTTCTAGTAGTTTTATGGTTTCAGCTCTTACGTTTAAGTCTTTGATCCATTTTGAGTTAATTTTTCTGAGCGATCTAAGAGAGAGGTCATTTCATTCTTTTGCATGTGGATATCCAGTTTTTCCAGCACCATTTATTGAAGAGGCTGTCTTTTCTCCATCGTGTGTTCTTGTCGCCTTTGTCAAAAATTAGTTGACCATATATGCATGGGTTTATGTCTGGGCCCTCTATTCTGTTCCACTGGTCTGTGAGTCTGTTTTTATGCTGGTGCCATACTATTTTGATTACTGTAGCTTTGTAATATAGCTTGAAATCAGGAAGTGCGATGCCTCCAGCTTTGTTTTTTTGTTGTTGTTTTTTTCTCAAGATTGCTTTGGCTATTTGGGGTCTTTCATAGTTCCATACAAATTCGAGGATAATTTTTTCTTATTTCTGTGAAAAATGCAATTGGAATTTTGATAGGAATCACATTGAATCTGTATATCACTTTGTATGGACATTTTCACAATATCACTTCTTCTAATCCAAGAACATGGGACAGCTTTCCATTTATTTGGGTCTTCTCTAATTTCTTTCATCAATGTCTTATAGTTTTCAGTGTACAGGTCTTTCACCTCCTTGGTTAAAGTTATTCCTAAGTATTTTATTGTTTTTCATGCTATTGTAAATGGGATGGCTTTATTAATTTCTCTTTCAGACAGGTTGTTGTTCTTATATAGAAACAAATGGTTTTTGTATGTTGATTTTGTATCCTGCAACTTTACTGAATTCATTTATTAGTTCAAACAGTTTTTTTGGTGGAGTCTTTAGAAGTTTACATGTATGAGATCATGTCATTTGCAAACAGAGATAATTTTACTTCTTTTCCAGTTTGGATGCCTTTTATTTCTTTTTCTTGCCTAATTGCTATGGCTAGGACTTCTTCCTCTTCTTATAAGGACCCCAGTCATTGGATTTAGACCCACCCTAACTCAACATAACCCCATCTAAACTTCACTAATCACATCTGCAAAGGCCCTATCTCCAAATAAGGTCACATTTACCGGTACTGGGGATTAGGATTTCAGTATATTTCTCTGGGGACACAATTCAATCCACAACAAAGGGAGTCTAGACAACCAAAAAGAGTATTAAGCTGTATGAATCTTCCGGAACTTAATTTTTTCATGTAGTAGCACACAGCTAAGATTGACCCTCATTTAGTTCACTTGTTTTTAACTGTTGTGTCATATTCCACCAGGTCAGTGTACCACAGGTGATCATCTGCTCTCCTACAGATGGCCTCTTGGGTGATGTCCAGGTGTCTGCTAATTTGAAGGGCTGTTTGAACATTCTGGTAAGTGCCTCTTGCTGCATGCACNCTGTTTCTACTGCAGCCTGGCTCGTCTCCTTCCTGCTTCAGATGCATCGAGCTGTTCCCCACCTCTGGGCCTTTGCACATGCTTCGTCCTCCAGCTGAAACATTCTTCCACTTCATCTTTCTTTCATACCTTGGCTTAAATGTCCTTCCTTTGGAGGCCTTCCCCGATATCTTATGATCAGTTCCCTTTGTTATTCTCCCTCCCCCTTTGCATTATGAAATTGTACATTTTTGAGGAGATGTGATTAATTTCTGGTCTGTCTCTTCCCCAGGACTAGGTCAGTTTTATTCATTGCCATGTCTGCAGAACAGCACCAGGCACAGTAGGTGCTGAATACATGTATGTTGAATGAATGAATGATTAGACTGCTGAGCTCTAGGCCTGGCCCAGCTGCATCCTAGCCGAGAAGAGGCCAGGCCCAGATGGTGAACTGGGGGTTGAGCAGGAATGGGGGACAGAGAGGCAGAGGGGAGCCGAGCTCCAGGCCAGCTGCCCCAGAGGGCCAGAGCCAGGCGTCTCAAACAGCCCTGCTCCCCAGTCTGCCCAGCCCTGCCCTCAAAGGCTCCAGTCTCGTCAGCCACACCTGGGAGTGCAGAGTGGCAGGAAACAGGTTCTTCCCACAGAGCCAGTTCCAGCGGCCTCTGTGGTTCCAGCCTCAAGTTGGCAAAGACCTCATTAGTAGTGAGGACGTGGGAGGGGCAGCTTGGAGCCCCAGAGCCAGGGCTGGCAAAGCAATGACAGAGGAGGCAGGGACCCTCTGGGGGAAAAGATTCTGGGAGAAAAAAATGGTGAAGCGGAGTAGAGCATGGCATAGAATTTGAGAGTCAGACTGCCGGGTCCAAATCCAGCCTTTCCTGCTGGGTAGCTTTGGAAAAGCTGGTGCACTGCTCCGTGCCTCCGTTTTCTCATCTGAAAAATGGGGGTAACAGTAAGTTCGACCTCACAGGGTGGTTGTAAACACCCCAAGTGCTTGGTGCAGACTCAGCAGTCCCACCCATTCAGTGTTAACATGAGTAATAGGGTTGGACAGGTGTGGGGGTGAACTTGGGCCTTTCCATTTAGAACTCAACAAGTTACTGCACCTCTCTGAACCTGAGGCTTTTCGTCTTCATGTGGGTCTCATGTAACCCCCGCTCTGGGGTGCTGAGAGGTGGGGGGTTGGGAGTAGCCCATCTGGGCCCAGCCATTACCTTGCCTGGACTGAATTGCTTCAATAGTAACAATTACAATGAACAATAATAGCAAACATTGTTCAAAGCACTACATGTATATAAACTCATTTTATTTTATTATTTATTTATTTATTTTTATTTTTAAAGATTTTTATTGGGGAATTGGGGTAAGGGGAACAGACAAGTTGCTATCCTTTTGTTCTTTAGTCTAGCTGCGGAGGATGTTGCTTTACTGGCCCAAGCTGGCACCATCACTGCGCTCCTCCCAGGTGAGGCAGATCAGTCGCCGGCTTCTAGACAGCCCCTCACTGCAGCTACTGGCCGCCCACGCTGGCCACTGGCCACACACGGTAGCCTATGGCAACCCACCTGCTGAAGTCTGTGACTCACAGGCAGCCCAGCTCCAGGTCGAGCTGCCGTTCAGCATCCTAGCTGTAGAGGGCAGCGTCACTGGCCCCCACATGCGGGATCCGAACCGGGGCCCTCTGGCATCCCAAGCCAGCTCTCAACCAATGTGCCACTTGGCCGGCCCCTATAAACTCATTTTAATCCCCTATTTTACAGATGGGGAAACTGAGGCACAGAGTGGCACATAGGCACAGAAATCACTTGGGGGTCTTGTTAAAATGCACAGTCTGGCTAAGTAGGTCTAGGTGTGGGATGCTGCCTTTCTCACAAGCTCCCAGGTGGTGCTGATGGTTGCAGACATGCTCTGAGCAGCCAGGAGCTAAGTTCCTTGCTAAAGGTTACACAGGTGGTGAGCAGACCTAGCCCACACAGTAGGCTGCAGAGTCCTAAACCTAACGTGACCCTAACGGCCTGCACCAGCCCCAGCTTTCCAGAGGCAGGAAGTAGCGCTCCTCTCCCCAAGCTCCTTTCCTCTCCTGGGGTGTCATTTGGCCTGTTAGAACCTCCTGTCCGCGCGCCCCCCCCCCCCCCCCGTGTCCCAGGGGGTAGGGGTGGGGCTCCTATCCAGGGCAAGGGAGGTTCTCAGATGCTCATTAGCCTGGAGGATAACTAAGGGCAAGGGATGAGCTCACCCTGGTTCCCTGGGGCTTGCTGAGGCCCAGCTGAGCCTGGTGCCAGCCTGGCCCTGTGCCTGCTTCCCTTTGCCTGAGGGTTTGGGACAAGGGAGGGGCTTGCTGGGGAGTAGAGAGGCCTCAGCCAGCCCCAGGGGAGACTCCCTCCAGCTTGGGCTCCCTGCCTAGCCCACAGCCATCAGGCTGTGCAGACATCTGCTTCCAGGGTATCCCCCATAAAGGTTCCAGGCCTAGACATGAAATGAGAATTGCTTGGCCCGAGGAGAGGTCCCTAAAGGCTGAGAGGGGACCCACTGGTGAGTTCTGGAGGGTGATGTTAGGCGGGACACAGAGAGGGTGTCACCTGGCAATGAATCACCCAGCAATTCTCATTCTAGGGGAGAAAGCCTCACTTGCTGTTAGGTGACTCAAACATCGCTCCAGCACTGGCTTACCTTATAACCAGCAGCTGCAGGCTTCAGGCTCCGTCTTGGGCAATCGACGCTCTTGAGCCAGAATTTAACAACACGTTGTTTTCTGCGTATTTGTGTTTACAATTACCGTCTATTTGGGGCACAGGTATTGCTTCTCCATTTATGATAGTGACATATGCACTCCTTTTTAAATCCATCCAGTTAGGGAGACACATAGCGAGTTAACTTAAAGCAAAGTATAACGGAAGTGACTAGCGGTGGTGTGAGGAGATGGAAGCAGTGGGATGGTGGCAGGTGGATGGCTGAAGCGGGGGAACCTGCTGGAGGTGACCCAGAGGGCCGCTCGCAGCCCAGGCACCCCACAGTCCTCTCACTACAGGGCCCAGCAGAGCCGTCGGCCCAGAGACAGAGGCACCCCACAGGTTCTGTGTCTGCTGGAAAAGTATGTCTGGGTTGTGCTGTGTTGAGTGGGGCCTGGGTCGGCCCTGGTCTTTATTCCTGGGGTCTGTGGTGTCAGACTAAGGGAAGGGGGTTGGCGTGCTCAGCCCGAGGTGCGCCCCTTCCCCAGCCTGCCCTACGTTTCCATCTGCAGGGCGCGTGCGCGTGCACACACACACACACACACACACACACACACACGAGCACTGGAGCCCGTTAATCATTTCACTCAGTTATTCATTCAGCCAGTCTTTATTGAGTACCTACTATGTGCCAAGCACTGGGCCAGTTGCCGGGGAGAGAGCCATGAGCCAGACAGGCAAAACATTCTCCTGAGGGAAGAAAGATGATAAACACAGAAACAAGTACAATATATGGCATGTCAGACAGTGTATGTGCTGTGGGAAAAGATAGTAAAGTAAGAGGTGTGGGAAGGTGGAGGGGTAGAGGTGTGGAGGTCCTCTCTGGGAGGTGTGCCAGGCATTGGGATGGATGCAGCCTTGTC